GGCGACATGGAGTCTAGATACGGCAATAAATGACCATACATATTCGGGTGAAGATGGTAGTGTGAGTACGGTCGAAGCACTGCACTGCACATAAAGTGTGTACATGAGAACGGAGGAAAAGAGACACCGCACAGGGACACTCCTCCTGTAGGTACGCTTAATTCTGCATGCCAGGGTAAGACCCAACCAGGATGGGCCTTGCTCCACTGCTCTATTTAGCACCATCTGTGCTAAAGACAAACAATATGGCAGGGTATCTTTCCGCGTTCTTGCAGAAGATTCATCCTCATTTTCCACTCTTTGTGAGTAGTGGAGCAAGGCCGACCATCCTGATGTCCCGCAGCTGTTCTCCGACGTGTTTCACTTCCAGACGTCTAAAGCAATGCCATGTTGTTTTTTTTTGTACTTTTGAATGCCACATGCAGACGGTGCGGACAAAGCTCGCTCACTTCCTGTATGCGCGAAGGACGATGATGATCTCAGGGTGAATGAACAGAGAAAGCTCACGCGGAATGCTGTTCAGTGCTGTATACAGGTATGTGTACTTTTCTGTTTTCACCTTTTCAAGCAATTTTGCTTTAAGCTCCAAAACATTTGAACTTTCTTTCGAATTTCTTTGTTCCTTGAATCTGTTCCATAAACTGCCTACCTTCTTCCCCCCCGAATACAACATACGGTCATTGTAACTGTATTTAGACTGAAAGATACCCTTAATACAGCTATAATTACCGTACGTTGTATCCGGGGGAAGGAAGAAGGTAGTTCCTGTGTATTTACATTGTGGGACTCACTTCACTGCTCACCATGCATGCACGAAAGACAAAAATAATCGTAGTGTGTCTTCCATGTTGTAGCGGAAGATTCATTCTCATTTTTTGCATATTTGGCGAGTCGTGGAGCGAGACCATTCTCGCTGAACTCTCTACGAGTTCCTTCACTCCTCAGCACACATGCACAAACGACAAAAATATGGCGATGTATCTTTCCATGTTGTAGCGGAAGATTCGTTCTCATTTTTTGCACATTTGGTGAGTCGTGGAGCGACGCCATTCTCTCTGAACTCTCTCTAAGTCCCATAATCATTATGGAATGCGATTCAAAAACATGAGGCAACCGTCTCAGAGAGTTGCGGTTACCTGTCAGGCGCGTTAGCGTCTATAAATTCTCAATGTCGAGCCACCATTGGTATTGTTTCAAATGAGAATCATGGTAAGCATAATTAGCATAATTTTAGGAAAGCAGGGCAAAGTAGATTGTTAGGAATACGACCCATTGTTCGTGGTGTGGCTATGAATCCTGTAGACCATCCTGTGCCAGTGGTGAGCAGCTATAACTTGAAGGTGAATTAATAACATTGACAACGATGAGGGTGGAGGCGATAAAGAATAAACTTTTCCCCTTTTGGCAGTGATAAAGGTTGAATATCATGTGAATACGAGGTCACGGCCAAGTGGCAGATTTTTAGTTTATTTTATTTTTCGAATAGTTGTTTTTTTTACTCATCAAGTTCCATCATCATCTGGATTCGAACACGGGTCTGTATTTCAACAGTTCATGGGTGTACCCCCCACTGAGCCAGGCTCTTGGGTCCTTGTGGCAGAATGGGTCACCAAATTACCACATATTTTTTGGTAAAGGGATCGCGAGTTCAAGGCTGCAATAATGGTAAAAGAGTCGCGCGTTCAAATCTGAAGGGATGCAATAATGTTGGGGAATATCCTCAGGTTTGGGAGACTTACCATCTTCCCCCGAATATAACGTACGGTCATTATAGCTGTATTTGAGGCATGTTTCAGTCTAGATACAGCTATAATGACCGTACGTTGTATTCGGGGGAAGAAGGTAGTGTTCACCATTCATAGGGTAATGTTCTCTCTCTCTCTCTCTCTCTCTCTCTCTCTCTCTCTCTCTCTCTCTCTCTCAAAATAGTATTGGGGATGTATCGTCTCCTTTTCAATATATCGTCTCCTTTTCAACAGTATAGTTCACCAAGCATCGAGTAATGAATGCCCTCCCTTCATGATGACAAAATGAAGTGAAACTCTAACACACTCTCTCTCTCTCTCTCTCTCTCTCTCTCTCTCTCTCTCTCTCTCTCTCTCTCTCTCTCTGTGTGTCTCTCGTTTCAGCACGTCGCACACCAGCCACATTTAATGTGGGAACTTCAAAAATTGACATGGTTCCATGACGATGTTTTGGTACCTTGCGCCAGGTTCCACTCACTGGCATGCAATAATATGAATTGAAAGTACCAACCACCAGTACATGGCCCCAGGCAACTGGAGAGCCTGTTTTGAGCTTCTCTGAAAATTTAAGAGGCCGCGCGCCGTAGATAAGGGGTTCTACAGGTCCTTAAGGTCATGGCAACGTCACGCACAGTATCCAATACTGGGGTACCTGCTTTGAATTTAAAAACAAGTGCAGCCGCGGCATATTTTGAAACCCTGAAGGCAAAAAAATCATGCGCGGGCACGAGGAACAGCGGACGCCGAAGTCTGAAATGGGAATGGTGGTCGGAATTCATCCATTGGGCCTTTTTTTTCTTTTTTCTTTTTTTTTCCGTTTCCCGTTTGACACCCTGTAGTTATGACACTCGGCCTGACACCACGGCCGTACTTTCATTGCCCATTTGAGTTCGGCGGTTGTTCTTTTTGCTTGCACGTGTGTTATTTTGCCCATTGGAAAGTCTCTTGTGACATAGGGCCTAGTTGCACTACTGGCCGTCTGTCACATTTCGTGGTGGATGCGTGGAGAGTGAAAAAAAATGAGAATTGTGTCGACCAGGAGGCCTGGTTGCACTTACTCGCAGCTATATTTCTTCTACAGAAAAGTTAAAATTTTGAGACAACTGCACCTGTGAGCGCTGCACAGTTCAGAATTCGCGGAAAAAAACAGTGAACTGCGCATTAGACTGCCTACCGGTTCGATAATAGGCAAAAACTGGAGGGGGCCTGTCCTAGCAGGCCCTCCCGTTTTTTTTTCGTTTGTTTTTTCCCCTTTTTGGCTTCTGGCGGGAATGGGTTCGGGCTGGAAAACGATCGCACTTTTGTCAGTACATGCCCCATTAACACCCGCCCCATTCTCTCTCTCTCTCTCTCTCTCTCTCTCTCTCTCTCTCTCTCTCTCTCTCTCTCTCTCTNTCTCTCTCTCTCTCTCTCTCTCTCTCTCTCTCTCTCTCTCTCTCTCTCTCTCTCTCTCTCTCTCTCTGTGTGTCTGCTGCTCGGCACAGAGAGAGAGAGTGGCTACGTCTATCTATAGGCTGAGCAAAATCGGAATGAATCTTGGCCGAGAAACTGGAAATATACACTGCCACTTTTCTTTTTTTCTTTTGTGTGTGTGTGTGTGTGTGAGAGAGCGAGAGAGAGAAAGAGAGAAAGAGAGGATTGGAAAGAAATAGAGAAGACTAGCATGTCCAAAAAAAAAAGGGTGCGAATGTATTCGGCACAGACAATCGACCAGATACATTCGCACTTTGGTGTGCCGAGCACAGAGAGAGAGAGAGAGAGTGGGGCAGGTGTTAACGGGGCACGTACTGACAAAGTGGGATTGGTTTCCAGCCCGAACCCATTCCCGCCAGAAGCTAAAAAGGAAAAGAAAAAAAAACAAAAAAAATGGGAGGGCCTGGCCTACCTCCTGTTTTTGCCCATTACGAACGGGTAGGCCGTGGAAAGCGAAGTTTACTGTTTTTTTAGCTGTTTCGAACTGCTCACGGCCCAATCTTGCAGTGGACTGTGACTTCCGCGAATTCTGAACTGTGCAGCGCTCACACACGGCCCAATCTTGCAGTGGACCGTTATTTCTGTGAATTCTGAACTGTGCAGCGGTCACAGGTGCAGTTTTTCTAAACTTTTTTGTCTACCTGATGTCGACTCGTGAAGCCCTGCACTCTCCAGAAAGTTGTTTTGTGGAGAGGTCCGAGGACCACCCTCCAGAAACCACCGTGCACAGGCGGGGAAACCGAATCCACTCTCCACAACTTGTATCGATGGTGTGGCGAGCCGACTGACACATTTTGCATTCGCCAAGTTTGGCGAGTAAGTGCAACCAGGCGCCTACTTGCCAAACTTGTCGTATGGCGAGTAGTGCAACTAGGCCCTAGGGTCTTGCTCATAGCTACGCCGGACCGGACCCCGGACCGAATCCGGGACCTGGAACCTGGAACTTCCGGGCCCTTCCGGACTTTCGAAACACCGGAATTTTCCACAGGATCCGGAGCGGTCCGGATCCCCTTTCCGGATGCCTATCCAGGTATATCGTGGGGGTGAACCGCGTACTTACATACATTACCTCGGTGTGTTGTGATATTCGCTATACACTAAAAAAAAAGCTGACTGTCGCTGTGTGTGTATGATGCGCAAAATCGAACTGTATATTCAACCAGAACATGAAAATATACACTGCCACATTTTTTTCTTTTTTTTTTGTGTGTGCATCAACTAAGAAGCCTGCTAATGTGCAAAATGAGAAGGAATCTTCCGCAAGAACATAGGAAGATACACCGCGACTGACAGATACATTGAAAAGAAATCCCGGTGTGAGTATGGACTAAGGTGCTGTCAGATGCAAATGTCGCCACGCGCCCGCGTGATAGAGAGAGAGAGAGGAGGAGGACGACGACAACTATAACGGACATGACGATGACGACGACTATAACGGACATGACGACGACGACAACTATAATGGACACGACGACGGCAGAGAGAGAGAGAGAGAGAGAGAGAGAGAGAGAGAAAGAGAGAGGACGATGATGACTCTAACGGACATGACGACAATGACGAGAGAGAGAGAGAGAGAGAAGAGGACGACGACGGCGGCTATAATGGACATGACAATGACGACGACAACGCTTATAACGGACATGACGATGACGACAACTATAACAGACATGACGACGATATGAGAGAGAGAGAGAGAGAGAGAGAGAGAGGAGGAGGAAGAGGACGACGACGATAACAGTTACTATAACGGACATGAAGTCGATGATGAGGGAGAGAGAAGAGAGAGAGAGAGAGGAGGAGGAGGAAGAGGAGGATGAGGAGGACGACGACGACCATAACAGAGGGTGGAGATGATGGCGGCGCACGCGCGCGCGCGCGCGCGCGCGAGAGAGAGAGAGAGAGAGAGAGAGAGAGAGAGAGAGAGAGAGAGAGGAGGAGGAGGAGGTGGAGGAGGATGACGACCATAACAGAGGGCGGAGATAGAGGAGGAGGAGGAGGACGACGACGACCATAACAGAGGGCAGAGATGACGGCCACACCAGAGAGAGAGAGAGAGTCACTCGAGAGAGAGGAGGAGGAAGAGGACGACGACGATAACTATAACGGACATGGCGACTATGATGAGAGAGAGAGAAGAGAGAGAGAGGAGGAGGAGGAAGAGGAGGATGAGGAGGAGTACGACGACCATAACAGAGGGTGGAGATGATGGCGACGCGTGCGCGCGCACGAGAGAGAGAGAGAGAGAGAGAGAGAGAGAGAGAGGAGGAGAAGGAAGAGGAGGAGGTGGAGGAGGAGGATGACGACCATAACAGAGGGCGGAGATAGAGGAGGTGGAGGAGGAGGACGACGACCATAACAGAGGTCGGAGATGACGGCCACACCAGAGAGAGAGAGTCACTTGTGCTGCTTCACCCAGAATCACCCTGCTGCATGCGCCGCTCCACGTGCTGGTCGCAGCGCAGCTGCTCGCTACTGCCCCACGTGCACGTCGCGGCTACAGGGAGATGGCTTCGAAAAATGGCGGGGGGAAGGACTGCTGCCTTCGAAAAGTGGCGGCTGCAAACTGCCCTCCTATGATTACCGAAAAAAAAAAAAAAAACGAACCAATACATTTTCCGCCCCTTCCGGACGGTGGCCAAAGGCCAAAAAAAAATGGGCCAATTTTTTTTGGGCGGCCCAGGGCATGAAAAAACGCCCTGGGCCGCCCAAAAATGTTTTGGCCGTTGGCCTGGGGACCCTCCATCCGGACCAGTTACCAGAAAGTGGTACCGGACCCCGGATCCCGGAGAGTCCGGATCCCTTTTCGGGGTTCCGGATTGTAGCCATGGTCTTGCTCCACTACTCTCGACATGCACAAACGACAAATTATGGCAGTGCCGCTGTGTATCTTTCCATGTTCTAGCAGAAGATTCACTCCCGTTTTGCACATTTCGAGAGTTACTGTAGTGGAGCGAGGCCCATAAACAGTGATAAACGCACTTGCCCCTTGAATGTATCAGAACCCAAGATATACATGTAAGGGCATAGCCACAGCGCTCTCGAAATGTGCAAAATGAGAATGAACTTCCCGCTAGAAATTGGCCAGATGCACCCGCCACATTTTGTCTTTTTCAGATTTCGAAAGCGGTGTGGCGAGGTCCTAAATCTTGCAGATACGTTCTCCTGGACATCCGTTAGTCTAGTGTGTGAATTTGCCAACTGGCCAAGGAAGGTATTGGCCTTTGTTTGTTTGTTTGTTTGTTTGTTTGTTTTGTTTTGTTTTGTTTTGTTTGTCCGTTTGTTTGTTTTTCTAAGGGCCTCGTTCGACACCACTTGGAAATTGCTGTTTTTCAAGGAAGCGTCGTTCGACCCCGCCCTAATCACGCAAGTCATTAATTGTTTCCACATCCCCACGGCCAAGTGTCCGCCCTTGAAACGGAAGTGCGGCCCAGGCAAATCGACGAAAATCCCAAGGGTGCCTCGGGAGGTCACTTGGGGCGCAAGGGTTTCACCCTTCAAAACGGGTAATATACGGACCTTTTTCTTTTTTTCTTTTTTTTCCCACCAATCACCACTGTTCGTGGTTCAATGATGTCAGCACTTCAGTTTCAAGGACGGCCGTCTCAAAGGTTTGGTCAAGGGGTTGTGGAACGAAAAAACAAATTAACGTAGGGGAAATTAATCACCTTCCGTGAGAGTATTTTCAAGCGGTGTCGAATGAGACCCTAAGTCTTTGAGAGTGTGCTGGATAGATAGGCCCTCACTGCACTACTCTCCACATGCGCCAAAGACTGAAAATTATGGCGGTGTATATTCCCACGTTCTAGCAGAAGATTCATCCTCATTTCCACATTTGGAGAGTAGTGCGGCAAGGCCCATGCTCATACTAGGTTTGAACTCTGTATTTGCTACTTGCCACTCGGCGAACCACAGGTAGATGGAGCATGTATTGTTAAATCAACTTAAATGTCAAATTTGCCCTTAGAGAAGTGCATCAGTAGATCTTGAGGCGTCTTCCGTCTTCATATCATCTTGTCTGGTCATATCGTTGACTGACTGCTGAATGCACGCGTCATCTGTGTGTGGAAATGTTTTGTCATGGCCCAATGACACACTGCGGAAACGGACGTAATGCTTCATCGACTTTCATGTTTCAAAAATGTTGGCGACGTTTTCTGAAGAGCATCATTACTGAGGAGACCATGATCGTTGCAGATTTTGGTGATAGTTACTTCACGGCATTAAAACTTCGCCTACCAAAGGGAGCCAGGTTTATGACTCTTTCTCTCTCTCTCTCTCTCTCTCTCTCTCTCTCTCTCTCTCTCTCTCTCTCTCTCTCTCTCTCTCTCTCTCTCTCTCTCTCTCTCT